GGCCCTGCCCGCCCCTGCCCCCCGCCCGCGGACGCGCGGGGAGCGCCGGCGCCCAGCCTTTCCCACGCGCTCGGGTCCGTGCGGGGCCGGGCAGGGCGAGATCGCACCCCCACGCGGGTCTGCGGTGTGTGCGCGCCGCTTGGAGTGGGGGGGAGTGCCCTCCACGCGTGTCTACGCGCGTGTGTGCGCGCAGCACGGAGCTCGGAGTGCGAGGGGAGTCCCCTTCACACGTGTCTGTGTCTGGATGTGGGTCTGTGTGTGCGCGCAGCTCGGGGGTGGGAGGGGAGTCCCCCTCCACGCGTGTGTCTGTGTCTGGGTGTGGGTCCGCGTGTGTGAGGAGCCGGGGGCAAGGGGGGGCGCTCTGTCCCTTCCACGGGTGTCTGTGTCTGGGTGTGTGCGTGTTCAGAGCTGGGAGGGGGAGCTCTGCCCCCCTGCCCCCACCTGTGGCTGTGTGTTCAGAGCTGGGTGGGGGGAGCTCTGACCCTTTCATGCGTGTTTGTGTGTGTTCAGAGTTGGGGCAGGGCAAACTGCCCCCCCACCGTGTGTGTGTGTGTGTGTGTGTGTGTGTGTGTGTGTGTGTGTTTGGAGCCCAGGGCTCTGAGGCTGGGAGGGGAGTTCCCCAACCTGTGTCTGTTTTTTGGGTGTCTGTGTGTGGTCTGGGGGGGGAGGGTGGGTCTGTCCCCTCCACGTGTGTCTGTGTCTGGGCGTGTGTGACCAGAGCCAGGGCAGAATGAGCTGACACCCCCATGCATGTCTGTGTGTGTCCGTGTGTGTTCAGGGCTGGGGTAGGGGAAGCTCTGCCCAGTGTGTGTGTGTGTGTGTGTGTGTGTGTGTGTGTGTGAGGCCCCACGCATATCTGTGTCCAGGCATGTGTCCATGTGTGTTCGGAGCCCGGGGCAGGGGGGCTCTGTCCCTTCCACGTGTGTCTGGGTGTGTGTGTGTGTTCAGAGCCAGGAGCTCTGAGGCTGGATTTGGGAGCTCTGACCTCCCACGCGTGTCTGTGCCCATGTGTGTTCGCAGCCCAGAGGTCTGAGGTTGGGAGGGGAGGAGATCTGCCCCCTCCCACGTGTCTCCATGTGTGTTCTTACCCCACAGGTCTGGGGGCTGGTAGAGCTCTGCCCCCCACGTGTGTGTATGTCTGTAGGTGTGTGTTTGCACCCGAGTATGGGAGCCCAGGGGAGGGGCAGCCGCTGCCCCCCAGGCATGTCTGTGTGTGTTTGCACTGGGGGCTCCAAGCACCTGCCCCAGATGGCTCTGCAGCCCCACGCTGGATTGGGTGGTGTGTGTAAGTGGGAGTTGGGGGTCGGCACGAGCCCCTGCCCACAATCCCAGGCCGGATCCTGGCCACGGGGGTGTGAATGTGAGCCGGGTGGAAGTGTGAGCAGCCCCTGCGTGTGTGTTTGGTAACTGGAAGCAGAGGCAGGGTGTGTGTGCATGTGTTTGTGCATGATTAGAAGCACGCGTGTGTGTGTGCTGGGGGCTGAGCTCTGGCTCGTGCCGTAGCTGCAAAAGGCCTCAAGTCCACAGAGACGGGTCCGTGACCTTCTTTAGCATGCCTGTCATACCTGACATGAGCATGTGATGGTTCCTTGTGTGTGCATGTGCGTGCTCACCTATGTGTGAGGTTTGCTGAGACGGAGCACCAGGGGCAGGCGCACTGGACAGAAGACCCTATCTGCCTCCCAGCCACCTGGGTCTCCCACATCAGCCGGGGACAGAGGCAGGGGACAAGCCCCTCCAGTGTGAGGGGCAGCGGGGCAGCAAGTTAACACCTCTGAGAGCATGAGGGGACACGCACATGCATGCACGCACAATACATATGCGCTGTGCCCCACCAGCCCCTGTGTGAACATGCATGAAACCCATGCCCTGGCCCACATGGCCTAGGGATTCACCATTAAGACCGAATTCCTGGCCTTACCCTGAGCTGAAGGGCTCGATCTTCTGGGCAGCTTTTGTCCTGGGACAAGTCTAGCCCTGTATACACACCCATGCACGCACGCACGCATACACACAGAGATGCATACACACATGGACGCACATGCACCCACACCCATGGGCACACATACACAGACAGATACACACTCGCCCATGCACACACACGCACATACACAGACACATGCAAACAAGCCCACGCATACACATATACAGATGCGCACACACACCACATGCACACACATACACAGACATCTGCACGCATACACATACATAATGCATGCACACACACAACCATGCACATACTTGCACATGCACACATGCACACACATTCATGAGCACATACCCATGCACTGTCATACAGTTACGCACACATGCCCATGTGCACACACACCCATGCACACAGCTGCACATGCACACCCATACACACCCATGAGCACACACCCATGCACACACACACAGTTACACACACATGCCCATGTGCACGCACACACACGGCCCTGCACACACATACACAGACATGCACGCCCATGCACACTTGCACATTTCTAAGATTCCTGGTGTTCCCGTCCTCTTCCTGGGCGGATTAGGAAGGTCCGGCGCGCTCTCCCCTCTCCCCGGCACGTCCAGCCCGGTAATCACTGTGCTATCTAAACATTCCCGGCCCGGGCGGCTGCTGGCATTTACATTTATCCCAAAGACGCAGGCTCTCATTGCAATCCAGTGAGTCTGGACCAGAGACTTGGAGCAGAGGGGCTGAACCTGAGACGGGGCTGGACGCTTGGGCTGCGCACTTTTCCTGTCATGGTGACCTGTGAGCTGGCAGTGCCCAGGCCCCCGCCGCCTCGCATGGAGTCTCTGCACAACCAAGCGCACGGGCCATATTGCCTCCCTGGTGTGATGCCTGCTGTTCCCCTTCCTCCTCTGCCCGTGTGCCTGGCATGTTTCATTCACACACACATGCACTCACACATGTGCACAAGGAACAGATGAGGGGCAAAGTGCCTTCTTGCCTTCGAGCCTGTTCCTGGATCCTCCTGGTTTCTGATCCTGTGAATGCCAAGTCCTGGTGCTGGAGTGGCAGACCCCTGCAGGCTGAGACCCTGGGGTTTTGCCCTCGCTGCAGGAGGATGCCTGGGATGCAGGACTGATGCATGGAGCTGAAGGGACTCAGCTGATGGCCTGATGATGCCAACCTTAATTAGATCAGAGCTGGCACATGGCAGGGTGCAGGGGAGGTCCCTGGTAGGAGTGTGAGACCTCATCCTGCATGGCTGCATTGGTACAGGACATCACAAAATGTGGGTGCCAGACCATCCTCTTCCTCATCCCACTGCCAGCTGCAAAGTAGGCTCTGAGCTCCCAGCTCCTCTTTGCAGGCAGCTGCCCTGCTCCTCCTGCCAGCGGCTTCCAGCTTTCAGCAAGTGCCTGTTTCTGGCATGGGAGCAGCAGCTTTTGCTCACACTCCCCCCACCCCTGTCCACGACCAGAAAACC